CTGCCTCTGCTTTTTGTCATGGAGCACAACCCCTGTCTTCATCCTTCCTGAATACCGAACTACTGATTTTTCTTTAAAAATTTTTTTTCTGGGGCACTTGGGTGGCTCAGTTGGTTAGGCACTTGACTTTGGCTCAGGTCATGATCTCAGGATCCTGGGTTTGAGCCCTGTATGTCTGCTTACCGCTCCCCCTTCGCCCCTCTAGCCACTCATGCTTCCTTGCACATGCTTTCTCTCTCAAGTAAATTTTTTAAAGAAATTTAAAAATATAATTTCCGATGTCCGGGTAAAGATCTATGCAAAAATTCAAGCCATATACATTTAAAAAAAAATTTCCTTTATTACTAGTTTGTAAGTTTCTTTCTTTTTTTTTCCCAAAGATTTTATTTATTTATCTGACAGAGAGCTCACAAGTAGGCAGAGAGGCAGGCAGAGAGAGAGGGGGAAGCAGGCTCCCTGCTGAGCAGAGAGCCTGATGTGGGGCCCGACCCCAGGACCCTGATATGACCTGAGCCAAAGGCAGAGGCTCAACCCACTGAACCACTCAGATGCCCGCAATATACATTCTTAAAAAAATCAAATTAAGCCCCCTCTCTTCTCAGACCTCAAGTAATCACCACCAAGTATTTGGTGTATTTTCTTCCGGACCTACATAAAAATTTATACATAAACGATTTTCTAAAAATGTGTTTTTTACGAGTTTTTTTCTAAAAATGTGCTTTTCCACACATTGCTTTATTCACTTATTTATTGTGAACTTGAGTTTAGAACATTGATATCTTCTGTGTTCAATTTAACAGCTTCAGTGTTCCATTCTTACCATAAATTAGTGCCATACTAATGAAATTGGGGTTGTTTCCAATTTTTCATCATTTCAAACAGCCCAGCAATTAGCACGTTTGTGCATCTAGCTTTGTGCCCTTGTGTAACCACCTCTGTAGGATAAATTCCTGGAAATGGAATTTGAGTCAAAACTATGTACATTTAAATTTTAACAAATTTTTAAAAGGTTTTATTTATTCATTTTGAAAGAGAGAGACAGAGTAAGAGCATGAGAGGGGAGGTCAGAGGGAGAAGCAGACTCCCCATGTTGCTGGGAGCCTGATGTGGGACTCCATCCCAGGACCATGACCTGAGCCACCCAGGTGCCCAAATTTTTAACAAATATTATTAAACTGACTTCCAGAAAAGGTGTATTTACATTTACACAATGAGTGCCTGTTTTCCATATATACTTGCCAGATTGATGCTATGAGTTTTTTTCAGTTTTGTCAGACAGATAGAAAGTATTTTATTATTGTTGTATTTCATCACTTGTGGTTGTGGTTGACCATGTTTGTTGGTAATTTCTGTTTCTTTGGTTAATTATCTGCTCATGTCCTTCGTTTGGGTTGTTTTTTCCTTTTCTTATCAACTCACAAAACTTGCTGATATACTGTGTCAATCTTTTTCATGTGTTTGAAATCTTTTTCCGTAGGGTGCCTAGCTCCTTCAGTCAGTGGAGTGTGTGACTCTTAATCTCGGGATCGTGAGTTTGAGCCCCACCTTGGGTGTAGAGATCACTTAAAAATAGAATCTAAAAAAATATTTTCCTAGTTTAATGTTCATAGTTTGAGTTTGCCATATAGACATTTTAGTTGAGAACATGATCAAACTTAGAAGTGTTTCAGTCTGTTTCTGGTTTGCATGTCATTTTAGAAAGACTTTCTCCATCCCAAGGTTAAAAGAATGTTCACCCATTTTTCGCTTTTAATGTTTTTGTTTCTACATTTAAATCTTTTGGCATAACGAATGAAATAGAAATCCAGCTTCCCACACTCTCCCTTAAGGAGCTAATGAAGAAACCACCATTGAATAATTGTTTTCCCCTTAAAATAACCACCTTTATCATATCCATGCCAAATTCCCATGTGCATTTGGAGCTATTTCTGGATTCTATTCTGATGGATGTGCCAGTCCTGTGCCAATCCCAGCACACTGTTCTTTTGTTTCAACTTTTAATATTGGTAGGCTAGGTCTCCCCGTTACTCATCTGTTTCAGAATGTTCTGGTTTTTCTCATTATCATTCTGGATGAACTTTTGCATTATTTTGTCAAGTTTCCTAACTCATCCTTTTGGAATTTAGAGACTGCATCAAATTTATGGTTTCAGGGAAAACTGCTTATCTTTTATATTATGGCCTTCTTATCTACAAACAAGTTATTACTCTGCTTATGCAAATAATCCTGGTTTAACTCAGAGGACTTTAGTTTTATTGATTGACCAAATATAAGTCCTATACATTATTAAAGTTACTTGAAGTATTTTAGGATTCCTGTTACTCTTATAAGCAGGATATTTACTTCCGGTAATTTTCTAATTATTAAAAAGGTTTCAGAAATTGTGCCATTTGTGACAACACTGAGGCATTGTGCTAAGTGAAATAAGTCAGACAGAAAGGCAAATATTCTATGATCTCACTTATATGCGGAAACTAAAACAACAAAAAACTCACAGACATGGAGAACAGGTTGGTGGTTGTCAGAAATGGGGTTGTGGCATGGGCAAAATTCGTGAAGGTGGTTCAAGGTACAAACTTCCAGTTATCAGATAAATAAGTCCTAGAGTAGTAATGTATACCATAGTGACTATAGTTAACAATAACATTTGAAAGTTGCTAAGAGGGTTGATCTTAAAAGTTCTCATCACAAGGAAAGAAACTGTAGCTATGTGTGGGGATGGATGTTAACTGCACTTACTGTGACAATCATTTCACAATATATACATACATCAAATCATTATGTTGGACGCCTGAAACTAATACAATGTTATATGTTGATATATCTCAATTAAAAATATTAAAATGTAGAAAGCTATTTCTTGTTCATATTTTGTTCTTAATGCATCTTTTATCCAATTCTCCTTTATACAATTCAGTCTAGGCCTGGAGTATTAGTTCTAGGTTGATGATTCCTAATGTCCAGAGTCTTTTAATCTTTTCCCAACTTCTCATCTCTCCCAAACTCTCATTTCTAACTTGGTGTTTCCCAAATTCTAAAAACTGTCATATTGCTGTCATAATTTTCCATATTCTGTATATAATACCTGCACCATTATTTGACATTTTTCTTTAAAATAACTAAAAATAAATTTAGCTTTATCTTGTACAATAATATCCAAGGAATAATGAATACTTTGATGTGCTGGTTTTAATTTATCTAATAGGAATGAAAATAAATAGAAAACTACTGAAGTTTGAAAAAAAAAATTCTTGGGGCACCTGGCTGGCTGGCTCAGTCCATAGAGCGTGCGAGTCTTTATCTCTGGGTTGTGAGTTCGAGCCCCATATTGGGTGTAGATTAAAAATAAAATCTTAAAAAAAAAACCATAAAATGTTCTTCAGATTGCTAGCAACGTTTCTTGTATCATCCACCACACTTTCTGAAAAGTCTGTTCTAGCTGGTAACAAACCTTTCAACCTGGGTATTAACCACTGCTTCCAATTCAGTGCTCTTCCCTCAAAATCCCTCTTACCCCACTAGCTTTGCTCTGTCAAAGTAATCATTTCCCCAGTCACAGGAGTTCTAAAATTGGGCTTCTAGGATGCCCCATTCAGCTCCTTCATTCCCTGGATGTTCTTCCAGCTCCGTCTTGCAAACTGTCCCTTGCCCTCCATTCTCCCAGACACTTTTTTATCCTCCTTGGTTATTGCTTCCTGAGGATCAGAATCTTGCTTTGATGCCCATCTCTCTGAACCAGCATCATTTGCGGTTGACTCATTGCCCTTTGCATTATTTAAACACATTTCCTGCCCTACCCCCATCTTCTGTTCTGCAGACAATCATACTGTGTGTGCCCTTGGGACTCTTCCCTCCTCTCCCTGCTCATCCAAACTTCACCTGTCCTTTTAGGCTCACTTTCTAGAAAGCTTTCTTAGATGATTCCTACAACCCCCTTACTGCTGTAGCAACACCTGGTGTTGTCCCAGATGTCTCATCCCTGAGTGGACTACAGGCTGCCTAAGGGCAGGCTTCGGTCTGAATGCTCCTGCACGGGTGCATTCCCAAGCACAAGGAAGCTCACTCAGTTGGCATTCCCAGACTTACCTCCAACTCCACCTCTCCCCAGTACCTGCCACAGCCACTCACCCCTCCCTTGCACCACCACCTCCAACTCCCACCAACCACCGGCCAAGAGGGAAAAGAAACAGGTGTAAGAAAAGCAGAGCACACTGAACTCTAAGAAGCCAGTTCTAGGATCATTAGTCTTTTAATATATTATTCTGAAAAGAAAGGAATTAAAAAAAAGTTCCTGACATCTCTTCTGATTTTTTTTTAAATTTAAATAAATACCCCGCCCACCCCCCACCCGCTAAAATTTCCCTCCTTCCCCATCATCCCGCCCATCCCTGCTACCCCCTCACCCCAGAGCTAAGTAAGATGCCTGTTACACAGCAGGCCACACTCACTACCAAATTCTGGCCGTGGTAAAATACTGTAAATGAGTCTGCGGCCCTCAGCTCGCTGGGACCCCTCCCTCCTCTTGCTTGGCTCCCCAATCCACACCAATCCCCATGGTCAGGGTCGGTGTGGCTGTGCCAGCTTCAGGCTTGGGGAGATCGCGAACTTGGTTCTCTTTAATTGCCCGCCACTGCCTACTCCCTGCCCAGGAGTAGGTCAAAAGAGGCCAGAACTGCCCTCCCAACTAAAATAAATAACGAAATAAATACCCCCTCCCCACTCCCGGCTCTATAAAAGAGCCCCTCTACCTCACACTCGCTAGCCCCGTCCTTCACCTGACCCGCCCCCCCTTCCTCCCTTCCCTTTCCTCCTCCCCCATGCTGACCTCCGGGATTGGCCTTTGCCCTCTCAGGAGGAGGAGTCTGCCTCGCCCAGCGTGGAGAGCAGCGGAGGGCCTCACTCCCAACCTCAAACCCTCCTCCCCAAATTTCAGGGGATGCGGGTGGGGCAGGGGGGGCCGTGCCCCACGGGCCTGGCAGACTCCCCCGTCTCCGGGGGGGTGGCGGTTGTTAGGGTGCAAGGCTGGGGGTTCTCCCTGGCTTTCTCTCACCTGGTCCTTCAAGTGTCCCTCTTTCAAGGCAGGTCTCCCGGAGAGCCGGGCACCCCCGCCCCGCTCCCCAGTCCGGTGCCCCGGCCTCCCGGCTTCCTCAGATGGCAGTGTCCCAGAGGACGGTGTGCTGCCGGCGGCAGGGCGGGGTGCCGGACTTGCGGGGCTCGGGCCCCCGCCGCCAGCTGGGGAGGATGGGCATGCTCTCCTGCTTGCAGAGACCTCGGTCGGGGCGGTGGCGGGCCTTGATCTCCTTGCACACGCAGCGCTTGCGCTCGATCACCTCCAGCAGCTTGCCATCGCGCTCGCGGGCGGGCTGAGGCGGCAGGGGCAGCGGCAGCGGCAGCGGCAGCGCGGGCTGGGTCTGTGCCCCTTCCTCCCGCCCGCCGGCCCGCGACGAGGGGAGGAAGCAAAAGGGGGGGGAAGGTCAAGGACCTCAGAGCGACCAGGCCCTGTCCCCCACCGCAAAGACCAATGTCTTCCCCCAGAAGCAAGTACTCTCCCCCTGGCTGAGAGTGTGTGTTCCGGTGGGGGGACAGGGACAGAAACCCACCTCTTGCACCTAGTGGGTGCCCTAGTGCCAGGCTGGGCCTGTCTCACCCTAAGGAATGGGCACCCCTTTAAAGAACTATCTTCCCAGTAGAACGCACTTTTCGAATTGGTACCCCCATTTTCTAAATGCACGAAGGCCCATGGCGGGCTAGTGGTGGCAGATGTCTGGCTGTCCCCATGGAATACAGCCCCTCCCAGGATCAACCCCAGCCCCCACCCTGAGGGGGGCCTACTCGGCAGTGCCAGCCCCCGCCCCAACCCTGCCTGGAGCTTGACCTCCTACTTTTCTTTCCACACCCAGACCTTCTTCCCCACCTGCTCCTTCGCAAATAAAAGAAAACCTAACGTGGTCTTCCCCTCACCTGGCTTGGGGCATCCCTAGGCTGGCTGCAGGGTCGGGGGGTGTGGAGCGCGGCCTGCCGGACTCCAGATGTGGAGGCTGAGCGTCCCAGGCGGTAGCCTCCTGTGAAGTCTGAGGTGGACAGATGAGAAGTGACGAGGGTAGGGGCCTCCAGGTTCCCCTCCCACAGCCCCCTCCAGGCTACCCCTGACTCAGCAGGGGAAGCAAGGGGATAGCGACGTCGTTGTCAGAATGGAGGGCCCACGACATGGACCCTGGGAGATCTCTCCCCTTCCAGCCCCATCTTTGTAAGGACCCAGGGTGGAGTGTCACCTCCATTGCGGTGGCAAGCAGGAAACGTCTGGCAGGGTACAGGCAGCGCTGTGCGACTCCCTCCTCGGTCCCCTCCATAGTGGATCCTGGCCAGCAGGCCCTCTGCCCCCTGACTCCTCACTGGGATCCCTGATGCCATGGGGCCCCGCTCCTCACGCTCCACCTTGCCTGGACCCTCGGCACTGCCATTCCAGGCCCGGCCACCATCCTCGACCTCTGCTGGGATAAGAAGGAGAGCTTAGTGCCTGTCCACGGGAAGGGTCTTGCTGTCCCCCCAGCTACACCCACTGCGATACACGTGGACCAAAAGTGACTGCCCTTCCGCGAGTCACAGCAGAGAAAGGAGGGAACCTATTTCACATTCCCCCCCCAACACACACACAGGAGGGACCCCAATACTGCCACTTTCCTTTCTACCCATCGGTGCCATCCCTGGCCTGAGACAAGTATTTGCTACCACCAAACCCTTTTCTGTGGTCACAGGGGTCTCCCCTACCCCAGCTTCAGCTCCACAGCCTCTCCGGCCCCATAGGGCCGCAGTGACGACCCTCTGAAACACAGAGGGGGGAGATCCCAAATCCTGAGCCGGGAGGGGGGGTGTTGGGGGAAGGGCTGCTAGGGAACTAAGCTCAGCTCCGAGAGGAGGCCTTGCAGAGCATTGCGTTGCCAGGCAACGGTAGGGGCCTCCCTCTCCTCTCCCTCCTGTCTGGATGGGTTGCCATGGCAACAGCTGGGAGGCAGCTGTGTTTAGCTCCTAGTGTGCGCACACTCACACACACACCCCTGCAGCCTAGCAAAGGGAAGGGCAGGGAGTAGAGCAGGACGGGGCAGGAGGTGATTACCCTTGGGGCCAGATTCTAGCCTCTCCCCATCGTAGGTCTTCCTGCCCGTCCAGCACACACACGGGGGACCCTGGCCCCTCAGCCTGTTTCGTGCCCTTATTCTCCAGTCTCCTTGAAAACTTCCCACTTCAGGACAATGGGTTGTGGCTTCCAGACAAGCCCTCCCAACACTTCCTCAAGATCATCACAAGCATCCCCAGTTCCCCCACCCCCAAATTCCCACCCCTCACTCACTGTCCAGCTCTTTTGCTTTTCTCCCTCCATACAGGACCTTCCTCTGCAGAGCCCAGCCTGCCCCAAATGTCGTGGCGCCCATCTCCTCTTCCTCCTCCTCTGGTGTCCCTGCACTGGCGATGACATGGGCGCAGGAGATGCTGGCAAAGGCACCGCCGTCGGTCCCTTGCTCCTGCAGCTGGATCTTGACCATGGGGGATGGGGCCCCCATTCCACAGCCCTTATTCAGCACCCCCCCGGCCTTGAGGCTCTCATAGGCAGGGGGTCTCTTGAGCCCAGCTGCTGCAGCCGGGTAGGTCCATAGGGGAGTCAGGGGGCCCGCAGTCGGGTCGGGAAGGCTGTGTGGGGAGGCCAGGCAGCCCCGATGGTGGAGGACCCCAGCTGCCGCGCCCATGGCCCCGCTGTGGGGGCTGGACTTCCCAGGCACTGGGGGCCTCGAGCTGGTGCACAGCATTCCGTGGAGGACCGAGATCTCCTTCTCAGTCTTTGGTTCCCCAACACCTAGGGGTGGACCAGCTGGCAGGACGGAGTGCGTGGTCACCTTGACTGCCGAGTACACCATGGTGTAAGACACAGCCTTGTCCTTGGGGGGGCCAGGGAGCAAGGCGGCCGGGGTAGGAGGGGCTGCCGGCACCCCTGCCACCTTGGGGCAGATCATGCTGTGGGAGTTGGGGAGCTCCCGCTCCCCCCGGGGCTGGCCAGAGCCCTGGGGTGGCAACGGTGTTGAGTGGCTCCGGGCCCGGCCCGAGGGTCCCAGCAGCAGCAGGTTGGCAGCAGGAGGCGGAGGCGGTGGGGGAGGCGTCTCCCGCTCCCGGGCAGGCACTTGGGGAGCTGGGGTGGAGCCCGTTGGCTCCTTCGAGTGGCAGAGGACTGGTAGCCTCGAGACCCCATCGCCAGGGGTTCGGGAAGCAGCCTTGGCTTGGGGGAAGGCCAGGAGCGGAGGACGGTGCTGGAGGAGGTTGGGGAAGGGCGGGGGGATTTCACAAGGAGTGGTCTTGGTAGGTGTCCCATCCCTCCGGCTCGGGAGGGCTGAAGCTGGCCGGCGGTGGGCGTGGGGCTGCAGGGCGGGAGGCTGGTGTGGCGAGGAGCTTGCGGTCAATGGGGGGGCCCCGTTGGGCCGGCCTTCCCCTGCCTCCTCGGGCAGTGGGTACTTCATCTCCTCATATATGGCCTCGCTCTCCTCTGAGTCCGAGTCAGCGCCCGCTGGAGGGGTTGGGCCCCTACCCCCAAGAGGGGGCCCAGTCAGGCCCCCTCCACTTCGTCCTCCTCCCCTGAAGACATCCCCCACCATCTCAATGTACACAGGCTCCTCTTCCTGGGCACCCACCTCAGGGTCCCCAGCTACGCAGGACCCCCTACTGAGGCGCTGAAGGGGCAGATTCCCCCCACGAGGAGTAGGGGCTGGGGGACAGGACTCATCGAAGGAGACAGAGAGCTGGGTGTTCGGGCTTCTCCGGGGCTTCTGTGGCGGAACCTTCCGGCTGGACTCTCGGCCCTCTGGGGTTGGCTTCTGTGAGCCTGGACAGAACGGGAAGGAGGAAGATAAACCGGGCTCTTAGTGCGGATAGGAGACGGGCAGACCCCTTCTGATCTCTTAACTCAGCTGCAAGGGCATATCTGTGTCTTTTATTTTCCCCACACCCCTCAACTTAAAGCACGGTGGGTTCCCTTTCTACCAGCCTGCTCTCAGTCCTTCTGATGAACTCCCCAGAATCCGCAGCTCCCACCGTGAATTCTGTCCCGCCCTCCTGTCCCTTCAAGGCCACCCCTTCCCCTGGAAAGGACTTTTCAGGGAGCTTCCCCTGCCCTTGAATGGTTCATCTCAGGCCCTTCCAAAAAGAAACCACCCCCCCACCACTCCCACTGAGAATGGAACCTTCCATTTCCTTAGTTCTTCCCTGAATGAACCTTCCCCCGTAGGCCTCTCTTGGCCTGGAATGGATCCTCCCAGCTCCTGGGGAGGGTTGGGGGTGTCTCACCTGCTTTCTTGCTGGGGGGCATCTCTACCCCCGACCCTGCCATGCTGAGCTTGGTGCTGGGATGTCTCCGGGGCTTGGCAGGGGGTCTTCGGGCACTGCTGTCCTCGGTGAGACCCCCGCCTCCCCCCCCAGGTCCACCCCCAACAGTGTCCATGCTGCCCACTGAATGGCAGGAGAGTGAGCGTGGGGCCATGGCGCTGCGGCAGGGGTGGGGGGTGTGCTCCTGGGAAGCTGGCATCGTCATGAAGCCCATCCTGAGGGAGCGGCGCAGCGAGGCGATGTCCCGCACCCGGACCCCAGGCCCCGGGCCGGCCCCGGACCCTGCGGGGCCTGCAGGAGCCACCTCTTTACTGGAGCTGGGGAGAGAAGGCCAAGATGGAACAGAGGCTGGGCCTCAGGCCTGGGCCTCCCCCTCCTCTACCCTCAGAGGGGTGTGCAGCCCTGTGCCTTCCCAGGAGGAGGAGGAGGAGGAAGGGGCCTGGGGTGGGGATGGGAAGCTGCCTGAAGGTCTAGGACAGCAAAGTAGAAACTTCTGGCAGAATCCCTAGGCTTTAAAACAGACAAGGAAATCGGGGAGGCACGGCGAGTAGGGATGAGCGAAGGGGTGAGTATGTGTGCAGGGGAGCGTCCCTGGAGCTGTCTGATCCCAGCCTGGGCATATCTGGCACAGGGCCCTTGTGTAGATGGCTTCATGCATAGGTAGAGAGACGCAAACAGGCAGCACAGCCCCGCCGGGCACAGACACCTGCCGCCAGGGCTCTGCTCCTCACGCTCATGCCAGCCCACACCTGGCCTCTGGCCTCCCAGCATGTCCGGCTCCCGCGGCCTTCGCTCCCACACCGACCCGCGCCTCCCTTCCCGGCCGAGGGCTGTACAGCCGCATCGCCAGAGCGGCCTCCTTCTGCTGATCCTTTTCCTCCCTTCCTCTGGCTCTGCCTCTCCCTTGGTGCCAGTGCCGTCCTTTCTCTGTCACCCTCCCAGGCTCACCCCCATTCCCTCTCACTGTCCCTGAGCTTCTGTGCGAGTGAAGGGAGGGGCGGCTGGCAGGGGAGAGGGGAGAGCCACTGCGGGGTGGGCTCTCATTAAGGCCCTGTCTACTAACCCTTCATTAGGGAGAGATCACTGCAGTCATAGCTCTGATTAATCTAATTAACAACAAGAATTAAACTCCACAGTTTCAAGGAGGGAGAAGGGAGCAGGGAGGTGGCTCTGACTCAGGCTCCAAGAGGCTGTGCTGTCAATGGGAGTGAAGAGAGAGGGGAGCGAGCGGAGAGAGGCCAGGATCCAGGTCCCTGGGAGGGCAAGGAGAGGGCAAGCAGGGAGAGGTCCCCAGGCCTGGCTCCTCTGCAGGGCCCAGCCTTCATGACTCCCACCACGACACTCACACGCACACACACAACCCTGTCCCTTGGCCACTTGCCTCCCCCAGCAGCGGAGCTGGGGAGAGGGCCAAAAGGATCTTCTCTGGTACCCCGCAAGTGACCCTGTCCCTGGACCAGGAGGGCAGTGGGGCCTGCCCCTTCCAAGGTCAGGTGACAGGGGAGCCTGGAGCCAACCCCATACTGACAGGAAGGAGAAGACTACAGGCCAGAGGTGAGTCAGGAAGGAGTGACTTGGGCTTCCAGGGGTGGGAAGAGCCAACGGGGTGCTCCCGAGCTGGAAGGCCCCCCCCACAAGAGGCCAGGACAAGGGCTGGAGCCAGGGGCCAGGAGCAGGGTGGGGACAGGGTGTACGCAATCCCAGCAATTCTGTACTGAGCACAGACTCTCAGATCAGACTCCTGACCAGGCTGTTGGACCCAAGAAGGGCAGAAGGATGTGGCCCAGCCACTGGGGAAGCAGAGGTGGGACAGCCCACAGGGCAGATATCTGGGACCGCGGCCTTACCTCCTCTTGGCCTCCTCCTCCTTGTGCTGCCTCCACTCCAGCTTGGTTTTTCGGTAGAGGAGGTTCATGTCGTGGGGCAGGAGGTGGGGGCTGGGGGGCCCTGCTCAGCGCCACCAGGCCCGGGGGGCGGCCCTCCCTGGGTCCCGGATCCACTTGGAGGGGGAGATGGGAAGGAAAAAAAGAAAGATGTGGGGTGGGTGGGGGCCAGGAATGAATGAGAGAGAGAAAGAGAGAGAGAAAGGAGTGGAGATATGACTTGGGTCCTCAGAGTGGAAAACAGATGGAAGCAAAGAAAACCCAACACCGCCTCTAGGACCCACAGACAGACAGACACAGGATATGTGTACAGAGTCACACACCCTGACAAAGGTGTTCAGAGCCACAAATACACATCCCGGAGAGATCAGCTCGACACAGATTCCCATCCTGTAAATACATCCTGATCTACCACACAGACAGGCCCCACAAATACACAGCAGCCTCACAGCCACACAAATACACATTCAGACACACAAACCACCAGGCCACAGACCCATATCTACAGACAGAGGACCAGACACAGATCAGATGGGTAAACACAACCTAGGAACAGGCAGACACACACAGACATAAACACCCCCGACACACCCACAGCACACACACACACACACCCCGGCTATGGGGAGCTGGACATACCTACAGACAAGGAGTTCTGCTACGGCCTACTTGCGTACATTGTACCCCACTGGGGAAGGGGGAGATGGTCAGAATCCCCACACCCTCTTGGGCCCTGACGCTGGGGATGTCATGAGGGCAGGGTGGGGATGCTGGCGAAGAGGCGGGGGGGGGGGGGGCACTCGGAGTTGGGCATCTACAATACTACCCATCCATCCATTTCCATTCCCTGCGGGCAGTTTTCCCTTCCAGTCCTTTGCCTGGGCCCCGGGCCTCCGTCCACCCCTATGCCTGCGTCCCGGCCCCTCAGTGACAGTCTCCACCTCCCTCGATGATGGCCCAGATCCCCTTCTTCCTCCTCCAGGATCTGGGAGGCTCCCGGCTTCCCTCTTCCAGTCCCTGCCCTCAATCCCACCCGGGGGTCTCCCATCTGGCCCCATAGCTACCTTCTGAGCTGCGGCCTCCAGACCTGCTCTGGTTTCCCTCCCCCAAAACACACTCTCCTTTCCGCCGTCGGCCTCACCTCTCCTCTTAGGCGCCCCTCCTCACTGCCGTCCTCTCCCTTCCCTGTTTGTTCCAAACCTGGCGGCTTCATCCCCCTCTCCATCCAAGGGCCCCAGGTTCCCGGGCACCCCTCCCCTTCTCCTTGTCCTGCTACCCTGGGTTTCTCCGTCTCTCGCCCCGCCAATCCTCACTACTCCCTGTCCCCCCACCCCACCTCCCCGCACCAAGGCTCCCCAATTTCCACATCACCGTACCTGGCCTGCCGGGCGCCGGCCCCCCCATGCCGGGCTCCGCCCGGAGCAGGAGGAGGGAGGAGGAGAGACAGAGAGAGACCGGGGGGGAGCCGAGCTGGGCCCTGCCGCAGAGACAGCCCCGCCTCCGGGTCCGCCCCCAGACCCGCCCCCGGCCCCAAACCCACCCTTCCACACCCTCCAAGGACGGAGTGGGAGCGGCCGCGCCGCGCTGCGCCGCGGGGTTGGGTTGGGAGGCGCGGGGGCCGCAGAGCCAGCCGAGCTAGCGGGGGGACTCGGAGAAAGGTCGCGGGGCGCGGGGGACCTGCCGCCGGCCCGTCCCCGCTTTGAGGCGGCCGCTCCTCGTCGCCTCTCGGCCTCTGCCCGGCCGGGCGGTATTCGGTTCGGTGTCCGAGGCCCCGGCGGAGCGAAGCGGGGCGCAGCGCGTAGCGGCGCCCCCCAGTGGCAGCCCGGGACCTGCACCCCCGCGCGTACCCCGTGTGCGCCTGGCGCTCTCCGGGTGCGCACCCCGCGTCGGGCCGGGGCGAGGCTGCGGCTGCGGGGCCCCGAGTGCAGTGAGGCGGCGAGGCCGGCAGGGGGTGCCGCTTTCCGGGCGGAGGGGCTCGGAGAGTCGTGAGCCCTACCATCCGAGTCTCTGCCCAGCAGGGGGCGTGTTCCCCTGGCTGCGCCCCATCTTCCTGCAGCCCCCCAGGTGCAGGGAGGGCGCCAGAGCTGGCTCTTCTGCAGCTGGTCGCGTATCCCTAGAGCCTCCCCGGCGCCCGGACCTTGTTTCATGGCCTGGGCTCCAAGGCTTAACGCCAGTCCGCCCCAGCGGCTCAAGTCATCCTCCCAATAACCTTTGACTCCGCGGCGGCGCCCGCCAGGTCCTGGGTGCCCCGGGGATCGGCCTCTGACTGGGACCACCGCGGCAACGGCCCCGCGCCCCCCTCCTCAATGCCCCTTCACCTTTGTCTTAGGTTCCGAGAAATCCTCCCTCGGAAATCCCTTTGCCGAACATCAGCTGCAAGAGGAGCTGGCTTTTACCCTTAAGTGGCTGAAAAATGGATCCCCCACCCCTAATCCCCCGAACCTGTGCACGTTACTTTATATGGCAAATCTTTGCAGATGGCGCTGTGTGGCTTTGGGTAAATCACACCACCTCTCTGAGAAATGCCTCATCTCATACCTTGCTCTATGAAGTTGTTGGGGGCAGCAAAGGAATACAAGGAGATTTGTAAGCTGGAAAATACATTAAAGAGCTATTATTACCCCCAGGAGAGGAAACATTAAAATACATAACAGCCCTTTCACATTCACACCTTAGTGTGAATGAATTTTTATTTATTCATCCAATAAACATTTCTGCAGAGACCAGCAACGTCCCAGGGCCTGCAGACACGGAGGAGTCCCAAGTTGAGGCTGAGCTTCTGAGTTGGTGGGAAGGGGAGAGTCCAGAGATAAATTTTGAGTAGTTTGTAGCAAGTCAGCGCTGAAGGAAGGAGGATCTGGGGGCGGAGCAGCGGGGCTGTGTTCTGAGTATTGCCAGAGGGGAGAGAGGTGGGGTGTGTGGGGTGTGTGTGGGAGGCTGCTTCCTGGACCTCAGAACTTGGGAGGCCTTTAGGACCTGGCTGAGGTAGCCCCTGTTACCAGGAAGGGAGAGAGGCAGAGTACAGATGCATCTTAACAAAGAAATTCAGGATATGTAAAGGTGGAGACAGGCGGCATCATTTTGTTTCCCCCCCAACCCTAAAGAGTGGTTAAAAATTTCCGTGAGCTAGGGGTGCCTGGGTGGCTCAGTGGGTTGGTCTCTGCCTTTATCTCCGGTCAGGATCTCAGGCTCCTGTGATCTGGCCCAGCATCTGGCTGTCTGCTCAGCAGGGATCCTACTTCCCCCCTGCTTCTCTGCCTACTTGTGATCTCTCTCTCCCTCTGTCAAATAAATAAAATCTTAAAATTTTTTTTTTCCATGAGCTCAAGCTGAAGAAGGAGGGATGTATCAGCCCAGTCCTAGCCTCAGTGCCATCAAACGCTAGCTCTGAGGCCTCGGGCAAATAAATAACCGAATGCCGCGGAGCATCTGTTTCCTTGGCAGAAACACTGGAGTTCAAAACCGACCCCATCCCTGCCCTGGACTGTTTGGAGAATCTGTGAGATCACTATATAAAGCAGACGAATGTGAGGAATTTTCAGTGTCCTCAGGAATAGTTCCATTTGACCAAAATTAATTAGAATCCATTTCCTTCTGAAGCTAGGAGTGAGGGCAGATGTGGCTGTTAGACCCCGCTTTTGCTCAGATGGCAGGTTGAGGGTGCCAAAAGGGAGAAAAATGGACGTTGGAGGTTTATTTCTTCATGCCAAGCACACAGTGGGCCCTTCATGTATGTGTGCAGATCCTCCAAGAGCAAAGGAGGGGAGGGATGGGAGAGGTGGGATGCTTGGGGCCAGCCAGGTTTGTCCTGGTGTGCATCTGTGCGGGGGGACTGTGGGCACCAGACGTCTCTCCGTGTATGCGACCAGGGCTGGAGAGAAAGTGCAAGTCAGCACGTTTCTGAGCAGTGCTCTTTGTCTCTCTACGTGGGGGCTAGACAAGGGCACACCTGAGTGTGTAGAATATTCCAGCTGTACCACGGATAGCCTTTCTGAGCCTTCCTGGTCTTGATATCCGCATCTAAAAAGGCCGTCGAAACGATGCCTGGGACGTGGTTCAAACTCTCCAGCACAACACACCCAAAGGTACTGGGAGGAGAGATGAACCGAGGCTGGTTTTGAGTTGATCATGGCTGAAACTGCACGATGGGGACCCGGGAGTGCATCGTACTTTCTCTCTCTACTTGGGGGCCTGTTTGCAAACTGTCACCATGATTCACCTTTTAAAAATAAGGACAGGAGAGAGTAACGGTACCTTCCCCACAGAGTTACTGGGGAAACCGCTGAAGATACGACAATAACGGCGGAGCAGCACCGCAACGTGTACGGGGTGCTTATGGGGTGGCGGGGAGCCCAGCGGAGCCCCCGGGGTGGGTAAGCTCCTTGCCGCTCTCCTCCGTGCGGGTAGGCCAATGGCAGCGAGTGCCTACAAGTAAGGGAATCCCGGGCCTTCGCAAACTCCTCCCCTTTGACTCCGCCCTCCATGGCCCCTCCCTCCGAGGAAGCGCCGGGCTGGGCCCCAGCAGGTGTGGGGTTAAGCCCGTTCGGGGGCCCCGGGAGCGGCAGCGGCAGCAGCGGCAGCAGCAACTGCACCAGCAGCGGTGGCGGAGCTCTGGCCCCGGGCCAGCTGGCCGGGAGCCCCAGGAGGCAGGGAGGGCGGAGGAAGGGGAGGAAGAGGGGAAGGAGGAGGAGAGGAGCAGTCAGCAGGCCCGAGGAGGCAGGACTTCCTGGTGTGGGGGTTGTCAACAGCCCGGAGAGAGAAAGGCGGAGAGACCGAAGCGAGAGGCGCTGAGGAGCGGAGAGAGACCGAGCCGAGCCACGCGGGGGAGATCTAGGAGACCCACTCGCCCCAGCCACCCAGGCGGCTCCACCTGGAGGATCCGGGGGGAGATCCGCCTCTTCCGCACCGGTCCGGAGACCCTCGGGGCTTCGGAGGCCGCGCCGGGGTCCACCGAGGAGCGGGGGTGCCGTCTTTTCCGGAGAGCAAACTTTTTACGGAGATGCCTTCCGGGGCGAAGTGCGGCCCCCGAAGAGAACCGGACAGCCTCTGATCGCCCGCTGCGCCCCCCACGCTGCTGGGGCCAAGAGGCCCCAGGGGAAGTACAGCCGGACGTCTTAGGCGGCCGGGACCCCCGGCCCAGCTTGGTGGCAGAGGCCGAGAGGTAGGGCTCTGGGCTGGGCGGGGCGCCGGGGAAGCGGGGCAGGGCCTGCCTCAGGGATGGGGGAGCTGGGGTGCGGGGGGCCTGGACACCCAGCAGAGGCCTCTGGGCGGCGGGGCCAGGCTGAGCAGCAGCTTCACCCCTGCTCAGCCGAGGCCCTGGAGCCCCCCTGCCTTTGGGCGACTCGGTCCTGTGAGTCTGAATGCCAGACTAGAAATGCCCAACTTTGGGTCTGGGCCGCCCCTTCCTACTCTCTGGGACCGCTGGGGTCTCCGGGTCTCTTCCGTCTCTGCCTGTCTCTTTGTCTCTGGTCTCTGGTGGTTTCCCCTTCCTCCCCCATCCTGCTCCCCAGAAAGGAAGCCCCGGAGGTGGCCTGCCCACTGCTTTCTCACACGCGCGCGCGCGCGCACACACACACACACACACGCACACACTCTCTCTCTCTCTTTTTCCAGTTTGCAAACTCAGCTCTGGAGTTGGGCAGCACCAGCGGCAGGAAAAACCTGCCCCTGCCCCCACCTCCCGCCGCCTCCCCTGCCTTGTGCTCCCTCCACCAACCAGGCACCCCCAGTTCCTGCAAGGCCCTCCTGACATGTCGGACTCAGATGTCCCCAGGGGCCCTGATGCCCCCGCCATGTGGCCCCCCTGTTCCAGGGGTGCCTGAGCCCTTTCGAGGAGCCCCAGCTGCACCCCCCGCCCACCTTGGCCGAATCCTGAGCCCCAGGGACCATGAGTGGGGGCAAGAAGAAGAGTAGTTTCCAAATCACCAGCGTCACCACGGACTATGAGGGCCCAGGGAGCCCAGGGGCTTCCGAGCCCCCTGCTCTGCCGGCCCCCACCGGGCCCCCACCCCGTCTGCCTAACGGGGAGCCCAACCCCGAGCCAGGGGGCAAGAGCACCCCCCGGAACGGCTCCCCACCACCTGGGGCCCCCGCCTCCCGTTTCCGGGTGGTAAAGCTGCCCCACGGCCTGGGAGAGCCTTATCGCCGAGGCCGTTGGACGTGTGTGGATGTTTACGAGCGAGACCTGGAGACCCCCGGCTTCAGCCGGCTCTTGGAGGGAGTTCGAGGGGCCTCTGGAGGCACTGGGGGCAGGTCTTTGGATTCCAGGTTGGAGGTGGCCAGCCTGGGCCTTGGTGCCCCGACCCCGCAGCCGGGCCTGTCCCAGGGCCCCACCTCCTGGCTCCGTCCCCCCCCCTCCTCCCCTGGACCTCAAGCCCGTTCCTTCACTGGGGGTCTGGGCCAGCTGGCAGTGCCTGGCAAGACCAAGGTGGAGACACCCCCCCTGTCAGCCTCCCCACCCCAGCAGCGCCCCCCAGAGCCCAGGACTGGGGAGAGCGCTGGCACGTCCAGGGCTGCCACGCCCCTGCCCTCCCTGAGGGTGGAAGCGGAGGCTGGGGGCTCAGCGTCGGGGACCCCTCCAGTGTCCCGATCAAAGGATGGCGCCCTGCGGCTGAGAATGGAGTTGGCTGCTCCAGAGGAGATGGGGCAGGTAAGAGCTGGGTTCTGGGGTTGGGGGAGACACCTGAGGGCAGGGGTGGGGGGTGGTGCTGGGCCTGACCTCCAGCCTGGGCCTTCCTGCCTCCACCTCCATACCATCTTCTCCCCACTTGACTGACACCTGTCTGTCAGGTCTGGTAGCCCCTCTTTTCCTGCCCTCTCCCTGGGAAACCCATCCTACCTTTC